AAAAAAAAAAAAAAAAAAAAAAAATGGGACAATTATTAGATCTCCTCTGTGGCCTTGTTATGAGGATTAAACGATTCTGTGCAAATCAAAACACTTGCACATCGTTCAGAACTTAGTATATATTCACTCGATGTTAGCTGTTATTAGAATTATTGCATAGCAAAAATTAGCATTTGATCCACTTTATTCTACCCTAAAGTCCACAATCTGAGCAACCTGTGAACTTCGCTATGTCAGGGTGTCCATAGATGCATCATTTGGAACAGAGACAATAAAAAGTTGTATTCATTATTTTTAAGAGCCTAATATGTCTATAGCACTATGATTGGAAATGTGGGTATATTTAAACTCAACAGTGGTACAAACTGCTGTGTGCAAAGTGCCGGTCTAAGCACTTAGGGAAACACAATTATAAATGCAACAGTCTCTGCCCTAAATGGAAAGGGGATTTAGGAAGATACCTAATTGTGATAATTTGCTTTGGGAATGTGCTGATGGAAATTCAGAGGAAGTTCTATGAGATCCCAGAGGAGGGAGCCCTTCAGGCCAGTGGAAAACTTTACCATGAGTATAAGGTTCTCCAAGCAGGTGACTGAGCTGGCCCTTGAAGATCTTTGCCCTTGAAATGTTCTAATCTGGGAGGAAAGACATAAACAGGACACCAAGAACAATGTAAGTTCCTATCTCATTTAGTTCCAGCTTCTGCAAGACAGATAAGGCTTGCCCTAGGAGTTCTGAAGTGAGAATAACCTGCGGGGCTTGGAGTATGAAGTATACAGGGCTCTGGCTCTAGAGGAAAAGATGACAAAAAAGCCCAAGGGTCATAAAGTTTAGATCAATAAGAAGGAAGGGGATGCCTGTGTATTGACCACCTACTATGTCACACAGCATGCTAATTCAATCCTCATGACGACTCCACGATAAGGTCATTGAGACTCAGAAAACATTAAGCAATTTGCTGAAGGTCATAGGAACCTGGGTCATGGTGACTCTGAAAAGTGTACTTTGAACCATCTTCACCCATTCAAATCATTCCCAATCCATACAACTCTGATTTGCTATTATTCTCCTAACATCTCATAGAAACTTCAGCTCGCCCTGGCGTTTTAGTCATTACCAAATAAAACGAACATTGAAGAAGCATATCCCAACAGTGAAGAAACAGTAAAAGAAGGCTTGGGAAAAAAAATCCCTGAAAGTAAAGGGAGTCCTGAGGAATGAAGGCAGGGGATGGGAATTGAGCAAATATGTGTATATTGAGTAAGAACTGTTGCTATATTCTAATAGTCAGAGGCTTCATGATAGCTCAGATCTATACCTGATCTTAGGAGTCTTTGGAGTTCTTTCCTTTTGCATAAAAGCAAAGCAAGATTCAAAGCTCTCATACAACTAAGAATTAGAGCCCCGGTCACCTGAGTCTCAGATAAAAGAGATCAAGTGATGGAGTAAAATTGGGTCACAGCACATGGTAATATTTTTTCAGTACTAAGGACTGAAAAATTTTTGCTCTGAGCTATATCTCCAACCTCCCCCTTTCGTCACTGTTTTTTCAAAGTTTGAGACAGGGTCTCTCCAAGTGGCTAAATTATCCAGGGTGGCCTCAAACTTACAATCCTCTTGCCTCCACCTCCCAGAGTGCTGAGAGATAAATTATTACATATAAATAAGTGGAAAGTTATGTGTAGTTCATTAATGGTTTATGAGGCAAAGCCTGTGATTTATCTAATTTTGTGCACTCCATTAACACAAGCAAATACATATGTATATGCACACATGCACGCATGCACCCATAATGAGGGAGGGCAACGTACATGGTAATTGTAGGTTCAGTGAACTGATGCGTCCAATGCTTTGCCAAATGTTCCCAATGTATTGGGAGACTGAGGTCAGAAGTCCCAGGATCTCTAAGAGATGGACTTCTCGGTCCCTTCTTTTTTCTGACTGCCACAGAGAGGAGAAATTTGGTTTCCTCAATTTTGTTTTTGTCCTTGACAGCAAGTGTAGAATAAATAATGTCTGCATGGCAGTTCTCCAGCTGACAAAGTTTCATGCCTCTGAACATCTTCTGCAAGGTAAACTGGTGAAGTAGATATTCCCATTTCACAGGCAGGAAGGGGCGAGGGAGAGGAAGGAAGGGCGGGCGCTGACAGGTACTGAAGTGAATGAGAACTGGAACCGAAAACCATGTATTCTCATTGCTGGTGGGAGAGCTGATAAAATCCCAAATATCTAGGTGTGTTCAAACCCACTGCATACAATAATCTAAACATCCCACGGAAGATCCCCAGTTTGCAAATGCCTCATTGCCACAAATGCAGTGAGTTATTATTCAAGTTCCACCCTCTGTCAGACAAGAGGTGGATCTGAATGACATAACTGATGTAGTTGAACATAGCCTTCTGCTTACCCAACGGCCACTTGATGATTCAAAGAGGTAACTTGGAGGTTTCGAAAGTGAGAATTTTTTTGCTTAGACAAATTCCCTGCCCATGGCATTGTGCACACAAAATCCTCTTTCTTCCAGCCACTCTCGGAAAACACTTTTAGGATATAATGTGATTTTCATTTATAACTGGAGAAACTTAGTTTCCGATATTCTTGGCCTAAGACTCTTCAGCAAGTTCTTCCCACGTGGGAAAGATGGGAATCTGGGATCTCCTGTTCTCAGAATGGTGTCATAATCCCCACACATTACATTCCAGTTTTTATGGAGGGGATGTCTGAGTCATTTGCTCATCTTACACATCTTTATATTTTTACCAGCATGCACGCTTCCCTGGTTTTCTGTCTCACCCTAACTAAGGATATGCAGCAGCCTTGTGGGCAGGAGTATCCTACGAGAAGAAAGTCCCAAGTTAGCAGGGTTAATCTCACCTCAGGCTCCCAGGACTCTAGCTTCTCGCACACCTCACACAGCACAGTTTTATCACTACCTTTTTTTTTTTTTTTTTAACAGACTGGTAACTAATAATTTGTAAACCACCCTTGCTTGCTCATTCTGACTTATTAAACGGTTGGAGGGTAGAAAAAGAAGAACTATTTTGCCATAAGGGGGAGCTTTTGAGTTCCATAAAGAGGGGGAAAAAGAAAAAAAAAAAATACAACTATGCCCCGGTTGAAAAACAGATCTTCCAAGCACGAAATGGTGAGACCCTTACCTGCGATTTGCAAAGTGTCAAAATTGCATAGCTTGAACTTAGGGAAATTAGTAATTTTCTCTCTTTGCTTATATAAACCTAAAATAATTTCTAACAATCAACAGAATATTTATAAGACTATAAGGGGAACTGCGAGACCCAGTTTTGCTGGGTCTACAGCTCCTGAAAGACAGATGCCCTGGGAAGTGCCTTTTCTCGGCTGTCTGCTGGTAATTCAGTGAGGATTTTGGAAACAGTATTTAAGTTAGGGGAAGCCTGACGCTGGCGGCCTCACAGGGGCTCAAGGCAGAGGGGACCGTCCATCATCGCCTAACTGTAAATGAGGGGAAAGGAGAAAGGATGGGAAAGCGAGAGAGAAAGGAAAGAAACGGGAAAGAGGAAGAGGGAGAGGAGTGGAGAGAAGAGAGAAAAACGAGAGAAGAGAAAAGAGGAGAGGAGGAGAGGAGAGGAGAGGAGAGGAGAGGAGAATATTTTTAAAATTCTGAGAATCAAGTTTCAAGACTCTTTCTGTGCTATGGAAAGAGATGAGGTTTACCAGCAAAGTGCAAAGGGGATCCTGAGAGGAGAGATTTTTCTCCCGCCAGGAGAGAAAAAAAATAATAAAATCAAGGAGGGGGTGAAGAAGGGAAAAAAACAAGCAAAACAAAACAAAAACAGGAATGTGTGTTTTGAGCAGAAACGCGGAGGGCTGGGAGGACCATAAGGGGGTGTGTACAGAATTTCATTAAATTGTTACTTTAAGATTGTCTTCTAAAAAAAAAAAAAAAAAAAAAAAAAGTGTCTAGGAGAACTACTATACTACATAGTACTCACACCTTGGTCGTAACTTCCTTGGGAGAGAGCACCAGGGCGCAAGCCCCTACCTTGGTGTTCCAAAGCTCTTAGCTCTATTCCAAATAAAAAAAAAAAAAAAAAAAAAAAACAGAGGGGGTGGAGAAGCGGGAGCGAAGCACGGCAAAGTGGAGGCAGGCTGGGTAACTCGGCCTCTCCAAACTGATTGATTAGTCATGATCCCCGCAGTTTTTAACAGGGACTCATTCAATCGGGAAGGTGGAGCGCTCGGGAGCAGATTAGCATACGCTTGTTTACTCATCTTCTGAGGGATTTTTTCCCCCTCTTTCCTTTCATTTTGTGAAGAAGGAGGGAGGGGAAGGGGGAGTGGGGGGGGAGGGGGCTGTGGCTTGTGTTATAAAGGACGCAAAAAATAAATAAATTAGAGCATCTTTTGGGGGGAGGGAATTGAGCGGATCAGTGTCTTAGAGGAGCGTTTTTTAAAGAGCGAGAAATCATATAAAATAAAATGAAATAAAACAAGAAGGAAGGCAACCAGCTGTTGGGGGGGGATAAGGCAGATAAAGAAGCGGGGAGAGGCATTAATTGCCACCCAGGAGGAGTTGGACTGTATTTTTCAAAGGTGGGGGGAGAGGAGCACACACCTTGAGGAGGAAAGCGAGAAAGAAAAGAAAAAAGCAAGTGGAAGGGGGGGCTCGCCCAAGAAGGTGAAGAAGCGGAGAAACTCGCGCGGAGGCTCCCAAAGCTGGCAGCTCCGGGCGGCGGTGCAGGGGCGAAGGGGGGGCGGGGGGGACCGTCGGACATGCGGCTCTGGAGTTGGGTGCTGCGCCTGGGGCTGCTGAG